GTGCATGCGTAGACCGAAAGCGATACATAGGTACTGTACTCGTTTATTACCGGCCAAACAGACAAGACAAAAACTTCGATTGTGGGGGATCGGGATGCTTATTAAGACAGCATCCGGTGTCTCGAGCAATATGAGACACAGGGCCTGTCACGTCACACAGATAATGGATGTATATACATATGTATACCCGAATACGTACAGATATACTACCTAGTAGGTAACCAACAAACAGTGCAATAGATACCATGAGTATACGATCATCATCCTCACAAGAGCCTCCATAGGTACCTACTACGTAGAAGACTACCTCAGAACAATATCGTCCCAGTCCTCATTCATCCTGACATGCACGGAACCTTTTCGTCAAAGTCCTAACTACTAAGTTACTAGCCATCCCACATGGATGACAATAAATATTGACGTTGCTGTCAACAAATGCATGATGTCGTAAAATCTTGTACCTTATTATTACCCTTTTCGACATACGCGGTTACACCAAGGGAGCAGAGCCTCCTAAACCTCGGTCAGCAGAGGAACTTTCTCAGCCAATCAGCTTCACAGAACTAGCTCGCGGTCGATGATAATCGCGAGATCTTTGACTTACAAGTTATACCACTAGGTAGTTATAGGTAGATTAACGCTTGACGGCCGCCGGTTGCTTCTGCTTCAGACCATGCCAAGGTCGCTAGGATCGACATTCTCTGTTATTATTTGTTCTATTAGTTCCTCGACGGGGCTGGTTGCCACAAATTACGACTCATGCTATCTGTCTGGTAGGGCGACCCAAGGAGACTGGGATCTCTTTTCCAAGTAACATACCCTCAAGTGGCCAACACCAACTCCTCGTTTCGAGATGTTTATCAAGCCCTCTTCTGCCTCCTATCTGAATTACCTATGGGATGTATAGCAGCATAACCCTGATGGGTTCTTCATCAACTATCGCAATGTTGGCGAGCCAGGCAAATTAGACGACATTTTCGATTCATCATTTTCAAGTCAGAGAATTCCGTCATCAATATATACTTAATGTTTTACAGTTCTATAGCCTAGAATACAGTGTTACACGGTTGTTCCTAGCCTCGACCTCCAGGCTTTCCAACGCGATGAGGGTAATTTTGATGATTGCGATGTGTCGGTTCTGCTAACAACGCATTAAACATCCAAAGGAATTGATCAAATGTTTGATAGAGTAGAGTGCCGCTTTTCTCTGCGCCTTGCTGTGGCCTCCATGGCCCATGCTGCTTCCTCCCGACGGATTATCGTAATGTCCTGGCCTGACATCAGTCCTCGGTTCTGGAATAGGCCTCGCCGTCATCCTCGTTACTACACAGCACAGCCAATCCTTGCTCTGCCTCAAGTTCCCTGTATCCCTTCTCCTGTCTTGCTTCCGCATGACCAACTGTCGTCGATCGTACCACAGCAGCTACCTTCACCAACCATGTGCTTGGCGACTTTTCTTTTCTTTTCGACTCTACTCAAGCTTTTTGAAAGCTGGGGCAGGGGCAGGGGGGTCCTTAGGCGTATCTGTCTCCTCGGGGAACGGTGGGGGTGTGCTCTCCTCCTTGCCGCCGCCAAAGTATTTCTCAAAGTCCTCGTTATCACCAAATGGTCGCTTGCCCAAGATACGAACCATGTCATCTCGGACGAGAACCTCCTTCTTGAGCAACTCCTGGGCGATTAGCCCAACTTCCTTCTTTTTCGAGGTCAGAAGATCTCGGCATCGCTGGTAGGCTGCCTCCACAATTCGGGAAACCTCCTGGTCGATCTGCTGGGCAGTAGATTCTGCAAATGGCTTCTGCATGCGGTTGGGGTCATTCTCGAAGTGAACGGGGCCCACCTTCTCGGACATGCCCCATTGGGTCACCATGTTTCGTGCCATCTGGGAAACCTTCTTGAAGTCGTCACTAGCACCTGTTGTCACGGTGGGGAAATGAAGCTCCTCAGATACACGGCCACCCATTGTCATAGCCATTCGGTCCATGAGCTGGTTGGTGTTCATCAGGTAAGCATCCTGGGGCAGGTACTGAGCATAACCCAGAGCACCTTGGCCCCGGGGAATAATGGAGACCTTGAGAAGAGGATCAGCATGTTCCAGGAACCAGCCACAGATGGCGTGGCCGGCCTCATGGTATGCAACAGTCTTCTTCTCCTCTGGCTTCAGCACGAGAGACTTGCGCTCAAGACCTCCGATAACCCGCTCAATGGCCCGCTCAAAGTGGTCCATCTTGACCTCATCAGCATTGCCTCGGGCAGCTAGGCAAAGTTAGCCAGGTAATACACAATATCAGATTAGCCGGTAGAACATACCAATTAGAGCAGCCTCGTTGACAACGTTGGCAATATCAGCACCGGAGAATCCAGGGGTGAGAGTTGCCAGGCGACCAACAAGGTATTCATGGTCCTCGTTTGTGACAATCTTGTTCAGATACACCTTGAAGATTTCCTGGCGGCCTTTCATTGTAGGACGATCGATGAAGATATGTCTGTCAAATCGCCCTGGTCGCATCAATGCCTTGTCGAGCATATCCGCTCGATTGGTGCCAGCAAGAACAACAACCTGCTCGCGAGTATTGAAACCGTCCATTTCAGTGAGAATCTGGTTCAGAGTTGCTTCCCGCTCATCATTGCCACCGAATCCCCGGCCGCTCTCCTGTCGCGCACGTCCAATTGCATCAATCTCGTCAATGAAGATGATGCAGGGGGCGTTCTTACGTCCTTCGGCGAATAAATCTCTCACACGTGAAGGCCCGACACCGACAAACATTTCAACGAACTCAGAACCGCTCACACTGAAGAATGGTACTCCAGACTCGCCAGCTGTGGCCTTGGCAAGCAATGTCTTGCCAGTACCAGGGGGGCCAGCTAAGATAGCACCTCGAGGGATCTTGGCACCTAGCTTTTCGAATTTCTCGGGCTGCTTCAGGAAGCTCACAAACTCCATGATCTCGGTTTTTGCCTCTTCGAGGCCAGCAACATCTGAGAATTTGACCTTCACAGCACTCTCCGCGTTGAACTTCTTAGCCTTGCTCTTGCCGAAGTTGAACATACCCCCTCCAGCACCACCACGTCCACCCATTGACCGCTGAGTCCAGAGGATCAACCCGATGAAGAGCAGTGTAGGGCCAAATGCCAGAAGAAGGTTGCCAAGGGTGCTACCTCCAGCCTCATAGCTCACAGGTATCCTTTCAGAAGGCGGAATACCAAGCTCATCTTGCGCCTGTTCCAACTTTCGCTCGAAGGATTCAACAGACCCTATGGAGAACACATAGCTCTTTCTCGCAGGTTGCCCGCCCTCACCAGTAGCTCCGGTTGCAGATGGATGAAGCTCTACCCGCACGTGTGAGCCGTTGACAACAATCAGCTTCTGAACCAGGCCCTTATCCAGGAATGCTTTCCGCATCTCTTGCCAAGTAATCTCCTTCTCAGAGAAAGGGTTGGCAAAGAGCTCCGCAATCCATACAGTGACACCAATGGCGATACCAGTCTGGACAGCCTCCAGCCACCCGCTGCGCTCATTCTTCGGTGGCTTGCCACCCTTCTGCTGCTGCTGATGTTGCTTCGACTTGTCAGCGCTACCCTTTCCGTCCTGGGTCTTCGGTTCCTGGTCCATGCGGAAGGAGGAAAATTGCCCATCCTGGTTGTCCTGTTGATCTTCCAATTCTATTATCCGTTCTGTGACCATGTATACACATCGCATGAGCCTTCCCTTGTCCAAGATCGAAAGGTTGCCATTCTGTCGTTGCTTTTGAAGAAGATCTCGGGTCTCGGCAGGGGCGCCAACAATTTGAAGTTTCTCAAGAATGTCCTTCGCCACGGGCCTTTGAGCCTCTGGAAGTCGACTTGTAAATTCCTCGAGATGTGCCAGTTCCTCCTTGTTCAAATGAATCCAGCCTTCGGGCAGAGGTGGCGGCTTTGGTGCTTCAGACTTGCTTCCATCGGGCCCGTTCTTTGCACTATGTTGATTCAATGGCTTGCTTCCATGCTCGTCATCTTTTTCCGGGTTTGAGCGAGGATCTTTGCCGGGAGGAGGGGGTTGCGAGGAATATGTCCTTGCTCGGATGGCGAATGCGGCAGAAGTCTTTGCGGGGATCGATCGGGTGACAAGTGACGGTCTTGCACATAATCGTAGTGCAGGCTGCGTTGACAATCTCGTCGCTCGTGCGAGCTGGCTTGATTGTCTTAAGAATCTCGACATGGCGGGCAACGCGGGCTGTCGCAAGTGCGGAACTACCGGGGTTGTGTGTAGAGATAAAGGTAATTGAGAGCGCCGTGCTATCTCATGGGGTAGCACGGCTCAGGCCAACAAGGCTATTGACTAGTATTTGAGGCCGGTATACAGTCGTATATGGCGAGAACTCGGAGTCCCAGCGCCAATGGATGAATATGAGTATGTTGGATGACACCACCAAGTGAAAGCTTCTGGTGATGAGTCTACAGCGGTTGCTTAGCTCGAAAACTGAGGATCACGTGTTGGGTAAGTCGCTGAGTGTGGGGTCAACTGAGAGGATTGGCTGACATGATCGCCTCAGGGAATGTGTCAGTACATACGTCAATGAGTGATGCCTGTTAGGTAGGTATTCTAACTTATGTACTAACCTTTCGTAGGTCTGTTCGGCTCTGCAATGCTTGACATCAGGTACCTACCTCTGGTAATTATGTGAAGAATACATCAAATGGGTTGTCGAAGTGAGCAGTGGCAATTTGCGCCGTATGTTCCAGCACTAGTGATGGATGTAAGTATCATAGAGCTCTCAACGGTGCTCTCTGTTTCATAGCGACTCATCTTTAATTAAGGGAATATTCTTTGTAGGTATCTTGCTACTACGATATTAATATGTCATATCCAGTCTTTTCAGTAGGAGGATATGAATCAAATTGAACAAGGATTCTGGCAACAATGAAGGAAAGACTGCCTTCTATTGACAGTGGAGGCAATATGTATTTTTGATACCTTTGCCCCAAACAGAGGGTTTCTTGCTCCTGGGAATTCATCTACTACCCTATCGCTCTGCCCATTCCAGGTTGTGAATTAGAATGGATCGTATAAGGCCATCGCCTTTCACCGGAACTCGGCATTCTTCCTTCTGTTCATTGAGATGCAAGACGATCTCTGTGCCTCTGGCTCCCTCGAAATCAGGCAAGTCACGCCAAATTTCAGTCCTTGACTTTTGGGCAATTGGGTGGTTGAAGTACAGCTGCAACACACGACGGGCCTGCTGATCGTCGCCGATTTCGAACAGTACCACCCTAGGCTTCAAGAGTTCTGTAATGTCCAAAAGCCGTGCGTAGAAAACGTCTGCTGGGTTGCATTTACTAGTGCAAGGGAGGTCCTTGTCAGGAACCAATGCGAGGCGCGGTTCATATTTTCGGACTGAATATCCGAGTTGCCCACAGCCATGACGCCAGATATCTTCTGATATATATGGAGGATTAGAAACGATAATGTCCCAGGGGGTAACGGCGAGCTGCTGCATGTCGCCATCACTGAAAACATTTGCTCTTGTGATGTCAAGCCGCTTGTGTTTTGTAGGCTTGATCAAAGTTCCAAGCCTGACGTTTCGTGCGATGTTCTCCTGTGCGAGCCGGATGGCTACAGGCGAAACATCCACTCCTCGCACGGTCAAGTTGTCAACCGAGTGCTGGAGGGATGAGAAAACTCCAAGAGGTATACAACCAGTTCCTGTGCAGAAGTCGATTATGTTTACTCCACGGTCCATTGTCCTTACATCTTGACCTAGAAGCTCCCCTGATTTGACGAGGTTTATTAGATGGAAAGTGTATGCTTCGGTTTCTGGTCTAGGTATTAAAACACCTTGTTTACACTTGATGTCGAGTGAGCCGAACGGCTGAGAGCCGATGACATACTGAAGTGGTTCACCACGCCCTCTTCTTCGACAGAGATTGTCTAACAGCCACGATTTGTTTCGTGACCGTGATTCATCGACATGGCTTCTTAGCCATCGAAGCTCATTCTGGGCAGAATTCAAGTCCCGGCAAGCTGGAAGAAGGCTTGCGATATGTGGCGAAAGGCGCCTAGCACGCCTCAACAAAGATGGCTGAATGCGCGGCATGACGAGAGAACTTCATCGTTGAGCCTGCAACGGTGAAAGTTGATGCATGACATGACAGGATTATAAGCATGCCATCAGAAAGTTAAGGTTAGATGTACATTATGTCATGATTAACCGACCTTTATCCTGCCGCGCCTCGAAGCTTTGGGGCAGCCCCCCTGCATCACCTTGCTTTATTCTTTAAATCTTTGTTCAACAACTTTACCAACTTGCTCAACAACTTCCTTTTGGATTTCTTTTTGGTGCTATATGCTCTAGGTTCATTCTGTACTCATAATTACTCGCCGAGCCATTCGAGCGATACAAAACGCAAAGTGCTGACATTCTTGGACTTTTGTTGTAATCGCCACTTTACCGCCAAATCTCAACCCGCCTAACACCCCGATCAAGAACCAAAGATGAACGCGCCTGATCGGTAAGACCATCTTTTTCTCTATCTGTTCGTTTGTGCTCTCTCTTTATTCGGGTCTTCTCTCGTGCGCTTCCAGGCTCCTTGCTCTTCTCTCAGGTCTGGCAAAGAAATACAGACATCAAGCCAGAATCCAATATTACACGCTCTTATAATCCTGCTTGGCCAAGCCTCATGTGAAGCCCAATACCCAATGTTGATTCGGCAATCGGTATGTGCCTTAGCATAGGGATTAGCTTTCATTCTGGCAAGTCGCCAGCTTGGTCTTATCACCCCTGCCATCGTTTACTTTAGAAAGCATTATGCCACTGGCAGTGTTACCTGGACGGCATTACCCCTAAGTCTATATGCCAGACTTATTACGGCAGTATGGTTTTCGAATGCCTGAAAGTCATCAAGTAACCATCTTTTCCTTGGTTCTATGTTCTGCGTTCATTTGCGTTGTCAGTGGCAGACACTGTCTTTGAGGAAAATTATCTTGCGAACTGCCTTTCCGAAGCAATTAAAAAAGCCATTTTCCTCAAACAAGTCAACCAAGCCAAGCTCATCTCATTTATTCCAACACCATAAAAAGCACAAAGCATAGATTTGCATCTTCACCAAACATTACACAATGGCCGGTGGTAACCCCAAGCATTTCAATCTCCAAGATGACCCGTTACGTTGTTGCAAACTACTTGAAGCCTTTCGCAATCTAACAAATTCGACAGTTTCGAGTTGTTCCTGCTCGGAGAGGGCGAGAAGAAGATAGAGGAAAAGGTCTTCTCAGGTTAGCTCCCTTGCGAGTTATGCCTATCTCCTGCTTACAATATTCTGTTAGGAATGTCCAATACCTCCGATTTTGTCCTCATGAAAGAAGACCACACTCTTGGTAACCTTCTCTCTGAGCACCTCAAGATGCACCCCAATGTCTATATGGCTGGGTATAAGAGTACAGATGCCGCCGCCCTTGATGAATCTTGTGCTGACATGGTACACAGTTGCTCATCCCAATGTTCCTGAGCTTTTTATACGAGTCCAGACAGACGGAACCATCACCCCCCGCGATGTGTTCACTTCTGTCTGTGAGAAGCTCATTAAACAACTCGAGATGCTGCATCAGGAGTTCACGCGAGAGTGGGAATTGAGACGAATCACCAACACTGGTGAGCAGGGAAACTTGCAGAACGGCCACTGAGTTCCGCGTTCATTATCAGGGATCATCTAAAACGGACAGGCATCATGGGCGGTCGGCGTTGGGGCTGCAGGTTATTGCTTATTTATTTTTAACCAGATATAAACTGGAATGAGCTTAAGAGCAGACTCTTTTGAGCCATACTGTGGTCCTTGTTTCCACTTGATGTGCATGTTGTGACACACGTGTAGAATAGGTCGCGCCAGGTTTGCTTGAGTTTAAATAGGGGAGACCTGGGCTCGAGATGAATTTCAACCAAAAGAGATTTTGCGAGGTCCATGATCCTGGTCAGGACCTTTCTCACGCAGCTCCTTCTGGACCTTCGCCACCAGGGATCAACTGATAGTGTTTTAGCACAGGGCGCAGGGAACGAGTTGCGACTGACTCACCATGCAGATGTTGTTGCCGTTCAGGAGAATCTTGGGAAGTTTAGTGTGGTTACCCGAATAGTCACTATTGAGTTAGCCAGTACCGGAAATGCAATAATGGAGATTTTGCTCATACAACTCGGTCACATCCTCCAAAACCATGTCTATACCAATAATTAGTTTTGATAGGGGCGAGCTGGGAGAGTAATACTCACTAACGTAGTCATCGAAACCGACAAGAGTTCCGCTGAATTCTATCACCTTTTCAGCACAATCGTCCATGAGCATACAGAAACTCATCTCTCACCCTTGTCGCCCTTCATAATGACCCAAATCCTGGAGCCTACACACTTGTCGATAAGCTCTACATAGAAGAGTTAGTATGTAGCCTTAATACATCAAGGATCTCTACCTATGCAAGGCTACTCACCGAGAGGTAACAGTTGGGATGCCATTGTGAAAATGTGACGTGGATGGATCGTATGAAGAGTTGTCGATCTGAAGCGGCTTCTTCGCTCAAAACTATTAGTACATTTTTACTGAAGTGCCGGTTTTGGTTACCGAAAGCCAGATGTTTTATCTCAGAGTTGAGCTGAAGTCGTCAAGGTCGTCGTCTCAAAGTCTCAAAGTGGGATGGATTATGGAGGTGTGAATAAGGTAAGGTACCTTAGGTACTGGATAGAGCACGTCCCCACGTGCTCTCGCGATGATCATGGTGACTAAGCCAATTTGTTACCCGCCCCTGGGCACTTCCACCCTCCCCAAGCCACCCGCTAACTAACTAACGCTCAGAATCAATGATCGCTCAATTGACGCGGCTGCCTAACAAATCTCACGTAACTACTGCACAGTAGCCTTCGCGTATCAGGGCCATGGGCTTTTGCCACAATGGCTCACCGACGCAGGCTATATTTCAATCACTTCATAGCCTAATGATATTACCTTCACAGGGGTGCATTGCTGGCAGTGTATTAAGACCCTCAATAAGAACGCGTCGGTTCCCCTCTGCTAGTAGGTATGTTGAGATACCGGTCTTTGATTTAAAAACTTCCTGACGGTTCTATCTATAAAGGGAAAAGTTTAGCTCCAGTATGTCACCAACTATAAAGAATCGTCTATGGAATCCGGCTTTTGGGATCAGGTTCTCTACGATAAATGATCATCAGTTACCTTACCCTTTCCTGGATATCACTCGCTTCGTCCATACCCCTGCCTCTGGGCCTGGGAATGTTGAGAAGGGAGATGTCGAAGCTGACGAGTTCAGCGAAGGTGAAGAGTTCGAACGTGATGCGGCGGAATGGTTCGATCAACAAGATCGGTTGGCATTGCCTACCATTGAAACAATCTCTAAAGGCACTCAGGTTGAATCAGACACAGACGGAGATCTCGTCGAGGTCTCGAAGCGGGAGAAAGACCTGGCGGAATCCGTCACTGCTCCTCTCACATCCTTAGACTACACAATCGACGCCAATCTTTGGGATACAGCCCGAAAAAGTAAGGCCGGTTCCAGCCAGTCTTTCTGGTCTTACAGAATGTACCGTCAAGTTCAAGGGAACGGCGTGGAGCAGAAAGTCAAGGTCCACTACTGCACTTCAAAACATACGATGGAGCATGTTTGTGAAAGGTACTTTTCTGACGAGAAAGTCATTGGCTTCGATTTGGAGTGGCTTGTTGCGAGGGGTCCTGCCAACTCCAACCCTCGACGAAATGTTTCGCTCATCCAGATCGCTAGCCCAAGTCGTGTAGGCTTGTTCCACGTTGCACTCTTTCCCAGGGACGACTTTGTCGCCCCGACTTTCAAGAGGATTATGGAGGACGAAAGCGTAACCAAAGTCGGAGTGGCTATCAAGGGTGACTGCACAAGATTGAAGAACAATCTCGGCATAAACAGTAAAGGGATCCTCGAGCTGTCTCACCTCTACAAACTTGTCAAGTACTCAAAGGCTGGAGAGCTAGACCGAATCAATAAGGTCATGGTGTCTTTAGCCGTGCAGACACAGGAGATGTTAGGCCTTCCTTTATTCAAAGGAGAGAATGTGCGGTCCAGTAATTGGATGATGCGTCTGTCAGCGGATCAAGTTGCATGTGAGTTAAAATTTGCGCCATCTGTACTTCTGTGGCTCACGTATATACAGATTCCGCATCAGATGCATATGTTGGCCTCCAGCTGTACTACGTGCTTGAGCAGGAACGCATGAAGCTTCAGCCCACTCCTCCTCGGCCAGCTTTCGTCGAGCAGAATCTTCCTATTAAGTTCTTAACCGCTGATGACGTTGATGAAAGTGATACGACTTCAGAATCGGGGGAATCCGAGGTTATTGCTGATGCTGAGGTGAGCCTTGAAACACCAGAAGCCAGACCTACGCCATCGATCGCAACGCCCACAACAAAGGATACGCCCCTTCCAGAGGACAATTCCCATGATCTTAGGGATCCCCGTATCCTTGCTGCCGAAAAGCACGCTCAACAATACCGCAGCACAACGCGCCCCAAGTCGACCCCACCATTGTCGTCTCTTCGCACTTATTACATGTGGTACGATAACCAAGATCTTACACCAGTGGACGTTGCTACACTCTTACGTACTCCTCCTCTTAAGACAAACACTGTTGTTTCCTATATCCTTGATGCCATCATCTCGGAAGGGTTGCCTTATTCTAAGTCGAGGCTTAGAACTGAGGTATTAGTCCACCTTGCCCCCCAGTCACTAGTGAGTGCCAGGTATCGAGCATTAGTGGATGCAAGTCAAGAGTCTGAAGGAGAACTATAAAAATCGATTCTAGGATTCGAGCGCACGTATGGGGAACTACTCAGAACGCAGCTTCGCTGCAAACTGGATTGGAAACGAATAGATAAAGACTGCTTATTACCTTTGGCTCAGGTTGTGATTCGTGACCTTCAGACTTATTGCCAATTGGATCCCTAAGATCCCTAAATATTGCAGCTATATCATCTGAGAACACAATAAGTATTTTTGGTATAAAGGGATAATCGGGTTTGGGTCTCCATTTCTATTACACTATCTATGGTCCTGGCCCAAACAGATTACGGCCTCTGTTGATCTGAACCTTCTTATCCTCACCACCACTCACAATACCCCAGGATTGATCCCAGGCCACGCTCAACACCTTGGCTCCGTCACCAGCAGCTGGGAGCTTCTTGCCCTTGAGCCACTCTCGGCCTATGGTGTACACTGGCTCACTGACGCTGCCGCCACCCTCTTCCGATGTACCCATCCGCACGCTTCGAAGATCCCACACACGGCATGTACTGTCGTGGGAGCCAGACACAAGCGAGTGGTCGTTTTCGGGCGAAGGCGCCAAAGAGACAACCATATTAACGTGACCGCGGAGTGTCATGGCTGAGGTAGTAGTAGCTGACTCACGGGGGTCGAGGAGGGTAATATGTCGGGCCGACGAACCAGCAGCGACAAGCGAGGATCCGGGGAGCGCCGTTGCGCATAATAGTGGGTGCATGGTTGTGAGTCGGCTGACCTCGCGCTGGGTTGTCAAATCAATAGTGCGAACAGTATGATCTTTGGATGCCGAATAGGCGACCGTCGCGTCGTTGGGATGAAAGATGGCAGCAGTCACAGGCTCATCATGGACAGGGATCAAAGCAAGAGGGCCACGCTGTGCAGTGTTGGCGGCACTTGCAAGCTTGGCTCGCTTCGTGCTATGTGCAGAAGGCAGGCTCTCAGGATCCGCTTGGGGAGCTGTTCTTTTTGACGATGTCCAAAGGCCAACTTTACCGTCAGATGATGCTGTGAGAATTCGTTTAGTGGCCCCGTTAATGTCAAGACTGTTGATTTCCTTCTCATGACCCCAGAGTTCCATGCTGGACTTGAGGGCGCCAGAGAAACCATCCTCAGATTCGCTATAGTCCCAGACAATAACCTTGCGATCCAGGCCAACTGAAGCCAGCTGCTTCTGTGAGATCCACTTGACCGCATTCGCTCGCTGCGTGTGGCCACCAGCTCGACCAGCAGGAGACACTGCGATTGCGTCTCCAGAGGTGTTCCAGACCCTAACGAGGCCGTCATAGGAAGCACTCGCAACTCGTTCGGGGATGTTACCACCACCAGCCAGGAGGCCCGCTCGTGAAGTGGCAGATAGGAGGTCTATACCACCGACCCAGTCGTCATGCTCAAAGCTCGCCTCGTAAACCGGAGGAAGCAGACTTCGAACATACTGCAAAGTCAAAGTGGATTCAGATGAAAGACCATTTGTTGCAAGATACTCTTCGATAGAAGTTCGGAGAAATGTGCCGTTGGCGAGAAAGTCGAGGGGTATAGGAGAGGAGGTGTCGAGCATAGACTCGGAGTTGAGAATGCGAGAGAGGCCATATCGTTTAATATCTATCATAAGGATTAGCCCCTTGATCACTCCAAGGTATTCAGGAACATCAATAACTGACCTGCAGGCACGAGCAATTGTTGTTTAGAGTCTGGCAGTACCAAATCCTGCTCAGTGGTAGTGAAGACGACCTTCACCTGTGCGACGTCCCCCATTTTTGCGTGGCTGTTCAATTGTTGTTATACTTCGAATTATTTTCCAGGCAAAACGATTTCAGGTCGTAGAACAAAATGATTCTACTGGGTTTGAAGCCTATTGGGCTCCCCGTATCTCGAACAATTTACTGCCGTGAAGGTATGCTTGTAGCAGATCAGCTTGCAAAGAAAGATCTTAGCGAAATCTAGAAAATTTTGGAAATTTTTGTAGCCTTGCATTACCTTCCGCCCCACTGCGGTGGCTGATCTGAGACGCTGGCCAATGATGATGTTCCTGGTTGCAAGGCTGAACCACTTTGGTGCTCATAACAGACCTGAGATAAGTGTACAGAAATGATACTATGTACGTCAAAATAAGATGAAGATATGTTTTTCAGGGCAATTTTTCTTCGTGAGCCCAATCACCAGGACTGGTTTACTATTTGTTAGCAGCCAATCAGGCAAACACACTTGGGATGTGGGTGATCCATGTTCAAGAGCTCTTGAAACTGGATGTGTTTATCTCTCAGGTAAGAAGTTGAATCTGTTATCAGATTCCTTCTTGAAGGTTCCAGGAGGTCATTGTGTTTTAAGCCGATCCCTTGGAACTGGCCAAAGAATACATTCTGTGTGAGTCAAGTTTTAAATTTACTTGTATTATTTTCCACTGAGGTTGTAAGAGCTGCTTCGTAGGTATTAGTTATACTATTCGACTTTATCTAATCTTAACGTAGTATCCAAGGGCCCTAAGAGGAGGTCTTGACATTATCTTTAGATAGGTAGGTAAGGTATGGAATACCTAGTATTATAATTTAAATAATCTTACTAAATATATATATATATATATCTCTATTCTTAGCGTGTGGGACCCTGATATTTAATAAGTACCTTCTACATTTATCTTAATATTCATAGACCTTTACTTATAATAGTCTAAAATCAGATAAACTCTTGTGCTATGGGTTGTTGAATGAAGTCACAGTGTTTCTTGGGTCTCTATGATTTAATTAAACGGAGCATGCTTGCTTTTGGAGAAACAGGACCATTACTGAGTCAGCTCGCGAGTCGATAACTTATCCCTGTGACTCTTGTCGAGGGAGAAACGCATTGTCTCTTGCATTGTTTCTTTGTGACGAAGTAACCGTGACAATTCTCGCCAACAATTGCTGCTACATCTGGTCGCTTATATTGTTTCTTTAATAAAACCCAGAGCATCATCGCTAGACAAAATCAGCTCGTGTTCTATTACCGTGGCATTTGGAGTAATGAAGCTCTTCAAACTCAACCCCCATCTGTCTCAATAAAAGCAGGGAGTCGGGTTGACGGAGCAGTCCTGGGACATACACGCTTGTTAATCCCGTAACCGTGGGGAGCTAATCTTGTAGTGTTTCAAAGGATAGACATACAAAACTGAATTAAGGGAGTTGTTTGAGACGTGAGTATTACGGCTCGGGTCTCGGTAGAACTCAAGCCGCAGAGGTTTGGTCTATGGCAACAAGCCACCTATCTCATTTTGTTTACTTGCTGTTTGAAATCTGTGGTCAATTTCGATCAACTCGAACAATGGTAAGTAGATTCTCTGTGGGTAACTAGAGATTTTCCATTATGCGATATGGGCATGAGGTTGACAAGAACATATGATGAACTGGCCTTGTGGGTTATGGCTATTTGATGGGAGATACTATGCTAAAAGAAATATATGCAATTTACCTAGTACCTCGTAGCTTCAAGGTATGGAAAGCCGTATATGCAGTATTCAATTTGGTGAAATAATGAATCGGTAGACACTACTCCGTACTTTGCAGTAGGATTAATAATACTCTTATCCTTCGTCCTTCTCTGATTAGTACCTTCTAAAGTAGGAGGATACCATTCGCGCTAGTAGATTTGATAATGCTGGCATCGATTCGAATAATGGCGTATCATAATACAGAAAGGATTCCAGTGACTTGGGGAAAAACCACATCTGCTGAACATGTCGATCTCTGGTATTCCCCCGCATTCCATGACCTCATCCCGACATCCCCCAAGAAGTGCCAGACTTGCGTCTGGCCATACACAAGGCAGGTCAATTTTTTAGAATGAAAAGTTTTGTCAGGCCCTTGTAACCTAACTTAGTCGCTAGTGTGGTGAGGAGTAAAAAGTCTGCACCGTACCCTACAGAACGGGTGGGAGATTTGCGCATGCCGTTGAGGAAAAACGTCGAGGCGTATCGACTAATAACAGGTGAGGGAAGAGAGAAAAATCAACCCATGCTCCTCAACAAAGCAACTCAATCTCATAATGGCGTAACATCGAGACCTGGAAATGGCAGTGAAACACTTTGATCAATGGACCGGCCTCGGCTCTTTGACCGGAGTGGCGTTGGTGTTACAAGGAGCTATTCCTTTTGATGTCAAGTTTGTGGCGTCTGGCCAAGTCCATTTCTGCGCGGTTAATCTTGATTGAGTTTAGAGGAGCTGGCAATTGAGACCCTCAAAACAACTTCTTCGAGTGAAGTGTGAAGGGAAAAAGGTTTCAAGGATCTGATGGCAGTCATACATATGATAGCCGCTGATTTCTGTTTACTGGATGCTCCGTCGAAGAGTACACTAATCTTACGCTCAATCGACCCCTCCAGGCATTAACCCAGCACATTGTCTTTTTGAAAGCATGTAAAACGTTGACCCTGGTCCCTGTCCTTGGGAGCCAAGAGAACGGCTCCATGTGGCGATGGGAAACCTGCCCTGGATTCCACAGTCATCTGGGCTTGCTACCTACTAGGCTAAGGCATGCTTGGTATACGGGCCTCTCCAGCTAGGTTGGCTTTTGTTTAGGCGCCGTTGCTAGGAGCTTGGGGCCCCGACATCCCACCGACCCCACCCAAGCTTGGGCCGCTAGTACGCCAAAGTACGAGCTGAAGGCCTAAAAGCTGTACCCGTAGGAGCATCAACACCAGGCGATATCACGGCCGAGAGTTGTTGTAGTGGCCTTTTGGTACCTGCCGAGTACATTCTTACACCATCTTTTTCGTGAACTCAACGCCCTCTACACAATCCCCCTCCATATTGGTTGCTTGCTTCCAACTTCCTGGGCTCGAAATTTCTCCCTTATACTTCCATTTTTCCTTTTTATTTTTCTTTCCTTGCATTTTCTCTCTCCTCCTCACCACACTTGGGTTCCTCTCTCCCTCTCTCATCTCAATTGGGGTAGCGCTCCAAAACACCAAAGCAAATCAATCACCACCGCCTGGACCTGAGATCCCTTGTACTAGGTATTATAGCAGTACCCATCGCTGTTAGTCTTTCTGGCTCCTACATCTCCGCTCCCCATGGGCACATGTCCATCTGCGAATGGATCCCCCCATCCCCTGTGATTGCCCCA